GTTGCAGGCAATCTGGATGACTAAACTGGGAGAGAGTTCAGTCTGCACAATAATACTCACTGCTCATGAGGAAAGCCCTACATTTAGATCCAAATGACAAATGACTAAGGTCCACAATGAACCTTTGGAAGGTGCCTGTGTCAATTAGTTTGGATCCTCTCTGTCAGTTTCTGACAGGCTGGTGAAAAAGCACCATATTTAATCTACGTAAAACTAGACTGGACAAAGCACTTGAGAATATTCTGTAGAGGGCAAAAATCCTGACTTGGCAAGGGGAAGTAGGAGATGATGTAATACAAAAGAACTTTTCCATTTCTATTTTTTATGATATGCTGATGGTATTCCATAATTAATAGGCTTGAAGAAATATTCTGAATACTTATTTGGACATGATACACACAACTGAGGTGACTGGTATAATCTGCAGTGGAAGTGAGTTGTAAAGAAAGGGGAAACACCTGGAACAGAAGTAAAGAGATTAAAAATAGGGGATACATATATTGTCAGCTCCTATTTGAGGAACTCTTCTGTACTACTTGTCCCAGTATTTTTAAAGTTTTTTTAGGCTGGGAAAAGGGCTAAAGGGGAAACAAGGATGGCCTCAGATGTTGGGCCCTAATTTCCAAACTAGCAACCAAAACTGAGCCTGCAATATTGAACGCAGACCCCGTGACCTGTAATAAGCGGACATTCCCATAAATGACTAAAGCCCCAAACTGAGGAAGGTATTTGAGCCCATGCCTCAGTTTAAGCCTGTGAGTAACCCCGTTAAAAAATCAATGGAGTCATCCAACATTCTTAAAGCTGTCTCCAGGCTCATGTGTCTTGCTGAGCTGAAACTGTATGTGCATGCTAGAATTTGCATACATTCATCCTGAAGTTTACAACCTGCTTCTGAAAGCACGGCCCACCCTGTATCCCTGATGTAAGCCTTATCTACAAGGAGGAATATGGCCCTGTCAGGATGAGATTTCATTTAGGTCTGCTGCAGGTTAGCTTGCTTTTAGGTGTGGTGATTATATATAGGCCAGCAAATTAGCACTTGGGTAACTAGGTCAGTTAAATTTCACTTACTAAGAAATAATATATTGCACCACATCTTGCTGCTTGACAAAGCTATTGCTAGTGACAAGAAACCACATCATTAGATGTGGTCATCTGCAAACCTCAAGGAGGATCTCTGGGATGAGGAAATTGCTGCTTACAGGGGTGTCATCGAGTGCAGGCTGAGTAGTTTCACTCCTTTTATGTGCATCATGCCTGCTTTCTGTGGTCAGGAATTCTTTACTCCTCTACCGTATGTAAAAAGGAATTTGGTTAATGGCTTGTGTTTGTTGAAGGGATGTGATTAGCATACAAATAGCTGATATTCTGAAGCATTCATATTTAATCAACAACTGCCAAAATAAGCCAGAATAGCATGCACATAACTTCCCACTCCCAGTGCCCTGTCACTCTAGGCTGCCCCTCTAGGAGGAGCTAGAGTTGCATACATTTCAGTCAAGAAACAGAGCTATTGTCCCCCACCCCACTTTTTGTTTGAGGCTCCCCTTTCCCTCCTATCATCTTCCCATAATCTGATGTTTGATACCAAGAATACTGATTGGTCAAAAAACATAGGTCCATGTCACAAAAAACACCTCACAGCCAGTACCTCCTGCACTGGCCATTCCAGATGTTGATAATGGGTACAGAGACTGCAATATCTTTTGCCTCTGAGTGAAAAACTAGGATGGCAAACTAACACAGTAGGTGTGTCTACACATACATTTATGCCGGCTTAAAGTTACTGTGCCATAAGTGGGAATGGACTGGCTTAATGTGCAGGCGTGAAAGTGCATTAACACTATGTGTAGACTGACTTGGGACTAAAGTTAGTCCACACACGGTGTTACTTCTCTGTAAGGTGTCTACAAGTGCATTACTGTGCAGTAGCTAATCAGCCGTAAATTTGATATCTGCATAATGCAGATATGGAATTTATGCCCAAGTTGCCCAAAGTATTTATTTCACAGTATGGATGTGCATGTGTAGACATACCCCCATACTGTGCAATAATTTCAGTTACTGTGCAGTAAATGTGCATGTGTAGACATATCCAGTATGTAGGCTAGCAGCACTCAGCCCCATTGCTTCCAGGGCCACGTTGTGTTTTAAAGGAGGAACAGGGGCTCTACAAGTGCTGGCAGAAATATTTCATAATTAGAAGTTTAGGATGAAAAATGTCATTGAAATTTCCAAGGAAAAAGGGAAAGGAAATTTAAATTATTTTTTGCTTTTTCTCTTTCTTTTCTCTGGCCTAGTTTCTAACAATTAGATTTTTGTTTTGGTTAATCAGACGTCAAAGGACATCGGGCCATAGACCATCAAAAATATAAACAATGGGTCTTTTGTTATGTTTTAAAAAATCAACTCAGTTATGATCACCTAGTTTTTATCGTATTATTTTTACATCAAAGTTACACTGTTCTGAGCTGTCACGTTATTTGCTTCAAGAACAGACATGTCCAGAAATTTAACAGAAGGTTTGCCTTTGCTACTTATAGTCCTGACAGATATTATCTTTGTGATACTTCTCCTAAAACTCAGGCTAGCTAAGGAAAACTCACTCTGAGGGAAGTATTTTTGAAGCTGCGATTTTAATCTTAAGGTTTACATACCTGTCAGAGGATAGCACATCCCTAGCCTTTCCTATTGTTCACAGTTTCCGTCTTTTCTTCCAAAGTCTACACAGAGCTCTCAAGGGTTCTTGCTCCTCAAGGCAAATTACCTCTGAGTTTACAGTTTCACCTCCAGCTCCTTATTATTTTTGCTCTTCACATGCTTTTTTCTTTGTGTTTTTTGTCCTATCTATTCCTTATATCCAACTCCTGATCTGGATCCTTAAAGGAAAGAAAAAAGCCACTCAGATACCATGGTGATGGGTGACCTTATAAAGACACAGATAAATAGGCAGGGACACTGTTATGTTTCCCCCACACTGTTAAAATGTGCTGTCGTCGTGTGAAAACATTTGTTCTACAAAGAAAAGAAAACCTTTCAAGCAGCATTTGGCCCCAGCCTTACTCCCACTGAAGCAGCTGGGGAAAGAATTTGGGACCGCTTGGGCTTTCATCTCCTTAGGGATGAGGTGAAGTTAGTTGATGGAAAGATAACTAACAGTAGGAATGATAGGCTTTCTCATCCATTTAAATGACACTGTGAAAGTATAAGGCTTGTAAGTATTCTTTGGAAGCTCAAAACTGTAGTCTCCTTTCCAATGTTTTTTTCTTTGTCTTTTCATAACATGTATATTGATGTGCTATTATAGGGGTACCTTTGAATACAGGGACAATTATACTTACTTTTACTTGTTTTTTTTATTGTAACCTGTCTGTCATTATGATTTATTGCAATATTTTTCCCCAGCATAAGTGCTAGACCAATGGTCCATCTAGCCCAGTAGACTCTCTCTGACAATGGTAGGAGTGGATGCTTTTGGCACCCTCCCTGAGTACCATTCCAATCCTGTGAATTTCAGTGCCTCCTAGTTCTACCGTTCTGGGACTTGGTGAATAATAGTTCCCTGCTCATTTTGCCCACACCTTTCATTAATTTAATAGACCTCTAACATATCCTTAGCTTTCTCCCTTCCAAACTGAAGAGTCCTAGCCATTTTAGTCTTTCCTGGTATAGCAGTTGCTCCATACCCATCATTATCTTGTTATGAGTGTTAAGAATTTGCTTTAAAAGAAAAAAAGCCCCATAATACATGAACTCTCTTCAGTAAAATATTTAAGCATATTTCTAACATTAAGCCCATGAGAAATTCTGCATGCTTAAGAACCACACTGATGTGGGTCCATAACACAGACTATGGACTCCGAAAAAGGATATGACAAGAACAAGTCAACTCTAAATATGAGGAAGTCAGTTTACTTCTTACGGTCATAACAGTAAGGTGGTAATAATTTTGGTTCATGCAAATATAATCTAAAGCCAGTGGGCAGACAAAAAAATCTCTCTATAAACCATCATGTTCTTGGGCTAAAAATGGGATATTGCAGCTCTCATTCATCCTGAATCACTGCTGCCACACTGCCCAGTCTTAGCACTGAAGACGAAAGCATCCAATCAGCTGGGACTCAGCATCAAAGAAACAGCGTGTTGTAGTGCAGTGATGGCAAAAGAAAAAGGGAAAAATAAAAAAGGATCAAAGAAAAAAAAACTTTTTTATTTAGGACGACACAACCAGGCTGATGCAGAGGGAGTGTAGTGTGGCTACAGTACTCAGCAAAGTTTGGGGGTGGAAAGGTGAGCCAGGAAACAGCCATTTGAAACACAACTAGGAATAGAGCCAGAGACAGCATTGATTTTTTTGGCACAGAAAAAGATGTATGTGTTTAGATCAACTCATGCCCTTATTGAGTCTTAAGTGTAGCAACGTCTGACTTTTTTGATACAGTCAGTGGGATTCCAGGGTATACTCCATGCAGATTACTGTAGGCATGGGATAAATGAAGACCCTGACTGTGGCCTTAACCTGTAATGCAGTGGGAGAGAATTGTTTTGTTAAGTGGTAAAAAGGAATCTGGCAGATCTGCAACAAATCTTTCTAACTGCCAGGTTAACATGGTGTGTAATGTCTGTAAGACAGATCATGAAAGGAGGTGACACACTTTAAGACCTTGGCTAGGAAGGAACATCAGCTGGAGGTAGCTCATTTCTGTCACCATGTAGGCCTCATGCAGCCAAAAGAATGACAACCTAAAGACTTTGCAAGATTTCTTTAACCCAGAAGTGATGAAAATACTTAGTGATGCTTAAAAGCAAAGATTAGAGACACATCAGCAGCCTAGACAGAGAAAAATGGATTACTTGAACCGAGACAATGGGAAACTATAGCCTGATTCAGTGCTCTTCCTGATGTATCCCTGTTCTGTCTTTTATATATGACACCCTTTGGCTGCTCCACAAACAATTCCAGCCTTGATATCCTTCTGCAAAGTTTTCCATCTCACTATTACCTTGGGATCCCCAAACTCTGTTGAATCTACCTGTTAATTTTCATCCTATGTCTCGATGGCAGGCTCTTCAAGAAAGGGACTGTATTTTGGTCATATGTGCATACCGTATCATGCACAATGGGACCTGGATCCTTGGTTGGTGGCTTTTATACACTATTGAAATACAAGTTTATAATGATAATAAATAAATAAGCTCCCTTAGGCTCCATTACTATGGCAAAGAACAGTACAGATTCAGCCATTCAAATTCGCATACACCTTACCTGGGACATTTTAAAAGACTGCAGCATTTTGTTTCCAAAGTGGTATTGAGAACTCTGGTACATCCTAAGATGTATACTTAGATCCCCCAACTATGACAGAAATTAATGGAATCTGGTAAAAGTAAAGATGAAGAGAGAGTTCTTACAGTTGTCCCTAAACACAGTTAAACATACATTTCATCATAGAAACATTCAGAGTTGTGAACCTTGAACTAAGAATTTGAACATTCCTAGTGAATACTAATGATATGCCAGGCTACAAACAGGAAAGAGCCATTTCATTCAGTGGTTAACTGGCAGTCAGTGCAAGTGGAGTACAAGAATAAGATGCTCTTGTCAGTTTACACAGCTGAGAAGATAGGCAGCTGTATTTTTCCCAGATGGAGTTTCCAGGTGGCTTTTATAATTAACTTTTGCAGTTAGCTGCAAGTTAGCCTAAGTGGTCACAAAAGCATGGATGACTGAAATAAGCCCCAGCCTGAAAAGGAAAAATGTTCATCTGAGCTGAGATCAAAGGTTGTAATTTTAGGAAGTGTTGGAAGCACATGGACAGTGATGAATCTATTAAAACACTGAAATTGTGTGCCATGTTTGATGATGATTGATCACACATCTCCAATGCCTGGATCATATGCAGATTTCACTGATTTTTCCAAGCACTTCTTTTGCCAATTAGGGCCACTTCTCTCTTGTACATGTTGAGATGTTGCCAGCTGGTTTTCATCCAGATACGAATTCTACCAGATATCACATGATTTTGGAGACTGTTGTCTCTAGGGTCAGATGAAGAGAAGTCAAATATACATATACTTGGGTATCATCAGCATGCGGATGAAGCAGTAGTTTAGACTCTTAGGACCAATCCCTACTGTGAAAGTCCAAAGCTGAACAGTACAGGGAGGGGGACCTGACACCCAGCACCTCATGGAATTGATCATAAAGGAGTAAGTTGTAAGCACTATGAAAACATATTTGCCATACTTAGATGATCCTTCTTGGTATGTGCTGTCCATTTCCCAGTTTCTGCCCCACTTCAGGTATACTCCTGAAAAAAACATACCTTCAGTTTCAGTTCACTTTTATGATTCTTTCCATTCACATGGCTCTACAATTGGCTGAAACTCTGAAGGTAGAAGAATGAGAAATACTGAACATGCCAACTAGGCTATACACAGGATATACTAACCTAGAGCATTACATCCATATAATACGAAAGAGAAAAATCTAACTGTTGATCCAATGCTAAACTGCTGCTAAACTGCTGCTAAACTGCTGCAATGCCTGGGTGGGTGGGCTGGAAGGTACCTTAGAAGGTCACCTGGTCCAACTCCATCATCAAGAAAGATAACACTTGTCTAGATAGGGATGATCCTAACCTATTCTTAAGATTACACAAAAAAAACCCCAGAAAGTTGGTTTGGCCCAGCTTTTTGTGTAATCCTAAACCAATCAGTTTTAATGGTTAAGAATTATTCTGAATAAAAGCAGTTATCAAACACTAAACAGACGGTAGTGGGCTTGATTCTGGGGATGACAGACAAACTTGGGTTTGATTCTGAGTTCTCTTACACAATTTTATATTTATCTGTTAGCTTTAGCAGACTCCTTCTTCATTTATGCTAGTGGAAGGGAGAAGAGCATCAGGCCTATTCTTCAATAAATCCTTTAGCAGAATCCCTGCTATCAAATTTACATGCAGTATCTCCAGATTCATAACTTTTCCTACATCTTTTGGCTGTCACACCTACTTCTTTCAACAAATACAATGTATAGATTCATTGAAAGGAAGATAAAAGTAGCAAGGTATGCACAGCTAATGCTCATTATATGCAAAAGTTAGCTTGCCTCCACAAATTCAATGTATAGTGAATGACTCATCCAGCAGGCTTGGGCTCAACCGATGACACATAAAGACTAAACTGTATTAAGGTTAATGAACTTCAGAATGATGATTTATACTAAAGTGAATGTAACACTTTATGGCAGCTAAAGCTACATTCACTCCTTTTCATTACTTTCTTGAGGACAACTCACATTAAAAAGAATCTGACACAAGGGGCTGTTGACAAGCATACAAAATGAAGCACAAATGCTACCTACTATCTGTAGCTGCACCCAGGGGACCTTGACAAAACATGTGAATAGCCACTGCTCTTATTCAGTGTAAGTGGGAAATATAGGCTGTTTACCAAGGGGTATGTCTGAATTTCTCTATAAGATACCCTCTGCTTACACAGTGGTTAGAGTCAGGGTGGAAGCTTGTTCTGTGCATGAAGCCCACAAAAGTGATTCTATAGACAAATATTTTAAAAGCCTTTAAAAATGTGATGATTTAAAGGAACTTAGTATAATTTAAAGGAACTAAAGACTGAATGGTTCCTGATTATGTCATCCATATTTGTGATGTAAACAAATTGTATTGTTTCTCCTGAACAAAATATTTTGTATGGCCCCTCTGGATGTTAGAAGAAAGTGCTAAGAAATATTTGCAGTTTTGATGTTTGAATCTGAACGGTCTTTCCACCCCATTTGTGCATGTCTTATAGGAACACCCAAATGCATTTCCTGTGAAGAGCATATACCTTGATATTACAGGCATATACAAAATTATCATAAAAAAGGCAATTTTTGATGTAAAGAAACCCTACTCATAGCAGTTTGCTTCTATACATGCTCAACGGATAAGAAGAAAAGTTATCCTTTGCTGGTTTCACTATATTCTGCCCTTACAAGACACTCTAAGTTCCTGATATAAGTTAGTTGTTACTAAAGGAGGTCAGCATATCCCAGCTCATCCCTGTTGTAACTTCAAGAACAGAGTTAGCTCTATGTATTTTTAAGCACCAAAATACTAACAGCATCAATCTTTCAAAGAGTTAGCCAAACATCAAAGAGATGAATAGTTACCTTCAGGCAGTGATGGCCCAGCAGACTCTTGCTGACCTTTGGGCTCTCTTTTTCCTCAGTTAGGGAAACCCTAAGGCAGATACTAGGAGGAAGAGCCAACACTTGAAGAAGTCCTCTGGCTATGATCTTGCACTCTCTAAACAAGTGACATTATTAACATGCCTTGTAGAAGGAGGACTCTGGCACTTTAATTTCTTATTTGAATTCATTTCCAAATATGACTATTTATAACCTTTATTTAAAGTCACATTATACAATGCTTGTTCTCTAGTCTCGGCTAGGAATATACCAGAAGCTAAAGGAAGAATCCAGGTTTCTTCCGAGGGGGGGAGGAAACAACTAAATTAGGAAATGCCTTTAGACAGATAAATGAAGATTTCAAGTCAACTGCAATTAATGAGCAATGAGGTTCCATGTAAAAGAAAGGTCCTCCATGAAACTTAAAAAAGCTTTAAGCATGTAGTATCCAGCAAGTGGGCCCCTATCTCTACTTTGTCTAGCAATGCTGGCTCCAAGAAGGAAATGAAATGACAAACAAAGCACAAATTGAAACATTAAGACGCACCACACTTCAAACAGCTCATGACCGTCACATATGTGAGCATGGGCTTCCTAGGGAATTAGCCACTTTTGGTCTGTGTATGTTTCTTTAAATCCTGTCCACCTTCGAATCACTTTGAAAGGATATGGACAGACTCCCCCCAAACCATACAATTGCCCTAAAACATTCACGAAAAGTCATTAAAAAACAAACAAACCCACAAAACCAAGCAAAGGTAGTTATTGCATTTATAGCATGAATACCCTTGTTGAAATACTTTTCTAGGCAAGTTCTCCCCTCCTCACACTACACCAGCTGTCTTTCAGGCTGTTTCCTGCAGCCTCCCAATGGGAAAAATGTGGGGCTATTATAAAATTGGCTTTAGAATTCTCTAAAAGCCTCAGAGTCCCATGTAATAGCAAGAAGACTTCCAAGTATCTTTCTTCAGTGTTTCCTCCCATTCACTTAGGAAAATAAACGGCTCCTTATTCAAGGAAAGATATTTTTTAAAAGAAAAAAAATCTCCCCAGAATTCTGCCTGTTCTTTTATATACCTGTTGTTGATAAAAATTGAGCCTTTTAAGAAGCTAAGAATTAAGTTGCACATGTAGAAATACAGGAATATCAATATCAAACAGACCAATGGTTTCTGTAATCCAGAATCCTGTCTTCAATAAGATGCTTTAGAGGAAGGTACAAGAAACCCTACAGTAGGCAAGAAATCAGCTAATTTACCCCAGTCTGAACAGTTATAAGTTTACATTGTAGGAGTTTACATTGTAGGTTTATGTTATGCCCCCTTTTTGTAGCCTTTCTATAACAGTCTATTTTTAGCATTAACTTTGGATAGCCCTGTTTGAATTTTGATGAGTTTTTCAATTGCTGTTCTGGAGAAATGACTTCTGTATCAAACATTCCCCTCATCAAGTCTGTTTACTGAATGTCCTTCTACTCTTGTGCTATGAAACAGAGAGAATAGATCCTTCTGATCTACCTTCCCCACACCACACTCATTTTGTGCATCTCTATCAGGTCTTACCTTTTTCTGAAAAAAAACAATTTCATTCTTTTCAGCCTCAGAATATTTCCATGCCTCTAATCAATCTTGTCATCCTTCTCCAAAGCCCTTTTATTTATGCAATGCACTTGGCAGAGTTGGAGTTACTAGTATTCCACATGTGTGTGTGCACCACTAATTTATATACTTTTTATGTTATTCTCAATCGTATTTCATATGCCCTAGCATTATTGGGGTTCTTTTTTGACTGCAGCTGTAGTGTGGCATGGGCTCTCATTTGAACAGTGAGAACCCACTCTTTTTCTTTTTCCAAATTTCCAATGCCCAACTTGACACAAATGAAAAGGACCTGATTTTCGAAGTGCAGGTGTTCAGACTTTCTAAAAAGTGGCCAGAGCAGGTAGGATCCAGATAGCATCAGTAAAGGGTAGAGGGCAGGAGTCAGAAGGCAGAACAGAAGATCAGGCATAGAAAAAGGATCAGATTGGCACTTGGGGAGGGTGCAGGGCTTTGTGGCATGTCTGCCAAAAAGGTTGCCTCCCACTGACCTAAAGAATATAACTGGTCAGAATACAAAAGCATTTGCAAACATTTGTTTAAGTCTCAAATTGCTGTTTACAGTATGATGAAGTGTTCTACTGGGTAAGGATGGGAGTGCTCAATTCTTATAGGATCAAGCCATAGAAAGGTACAGAAGAAACAGAATAACCCAGTGAGGAAAGTCATATATTATTAGGAGTCATGGAAAAGTCATGATCTGAAAAGATATTTGAATCTAAGGACCTGTTTTAGAGAGAATACTAATAAATGGGGCCACGATGGAGCTATATTGGGCAATGGACGATATAAAAATAAGTCAATTGGTTATTCTTGCTGCTACTGTGGGAGCAGAACTTCAGCCTATATACATTTTTCATATAACACAAGAACACAAGAATACCCAATGACATTAAATGGGAATGATTTAAACTAATAAAAAGGAACTACTTCTTTGTACCATATATAAATTAACCTGTGCTACTCATTACCGAAATACATTAATAAGGCAAAGTATCTAGAAGGTCTCAAACAAAGATATTATGTAAAATGGAATAGCATAAACCATACAAGGCAGGGCATAATCCAAATTCAGCCAGGCCAGAGTTAAGCAACTCAGCTGTGGGCTACTGAAGAATTTATGAGCATTTCAACTCTTCCTCCAAAATGCTGGTTACAGAGTACTGGGACAGGCAACATTACAATCAGCATTTTCAGAAGTGGTCCAGTTTAGAATGAGTCTATTTTGGGGTATCTTATATGAGATGCTGTATACTGGATGTTTTTGTAGAGGTTCTAGATACCTGTTTTTTCCTACTGATTTCCACCAGAGTCACTGGTGCTTAGCACCTCCATATAGCAGTCACAGCATTGGTCACTACAAACTAGCCACGACTTTGAGAACACTGGCCTGAACCAGAAGAAGAAGGGATGAAAAGACAATTATTTAACTAGAAGCCCTCCATTTCTCTTCACTTAGAAACTTAAAATACGGAGATAACTATAGCTGAGGGATATTTAATGGGAATCTTGCACAGTTCATTTTTAGGATATATAAAAAATCTGATGTACTGTAAAATTTATAGCTTCCTTGCCCCCCAAAAGAAAAAAAATCTCGTGGTAGAATATATAAATTTTTCTGAGACTCTAAAAGGTGTCATAAAATCTCTCTGCTAGAGATACTGTAGGTGTTATAGAACCACATACTGTAATGCAGATTTGCAATAATTTCAGCTTTGGTTCAAAACCATATGCAGACACTGGGTTCTAATGTTGAAATGCTCTAGGCAAGAAGCATATAATGCCCAACACAACAAAATGCTGTTGGATCTCATTTGAAATATAATCTAAACAAACACAAATGGCGGGACATATGCAAAGAGTCTTAATATTTCAACACCTACATTTCTTTATGTGTCCAGGTTATTAGAAAGGTGGTTGCAAAGGATTATTTCTTTACCAAGTTCACATGGAGTTGTTTGCTCAGTTTAATAATAGTCTATCTTGTTCAGCCTGAACAAACTGGTCCCTGTGGAAAAAAAAAAAGGCAGTAATAAATCAATAGCCCAGATGTAATCTTAGGTGTCTAGAATGCAGAGAGGGATTTTGGAGCATAATGGCACTAGTTGTCTATTGTCATTCAGACATGAGCTGCATCAGAAAAGGGCTTGTGGGAACCTGATAAGAGTTGGTCAAAAGTGGGCTATAAATCAAATACAGGCAGTATTCTGCTGATTTCACACACACGCTCACTGGGGGGAAAAAAAGTGATAGATCTGCAATTTACTGCTTATCACATCTGCTAGAAGTTTCATAATACAAAAGGCTGACCTTGAATGAATAAACACCCTAGTTGACTACCTGTTTCTGCCTAGAAAATATGGCACTCTGCTCACCTAGAGCTGGAAACACAGCTATGAGAATGATGTTACATCTTCAAGTTTAACAAGCTTCCTTTTGTTGTTAGCAGTTGAGTAGTTGTCACTTTAGTTACTAGTAGCCACTTTAACATCAAATGTATAGTGTTTATTGAAAGAACTAGATGCTTATTCAAAGGAACTAAGGGCTTAAGGAGAGAAAATAGCTACTAAATAGCTCACCCAGCCACTGAAAGTATGAAAAAAGCGGTAGGCTCAGGTCCTTTTGTTATTTTCTTTCATATAAATGACCTGCTCCCTTTTAAAAGGAAAATGGAAACTACTGCTACGATGATACATTAAGTAGAGAAGTTCAAGCACAATATATTGATTTAGATTGTGGTTCTGAACTCACTTATATTCAGGAGCTAGCAAAACTGTAAGCTTAGTTTTGCCCTGCAAAACTGTAGGCTGACTTTGGCCCTTCATATTAGCCATTTGACAATTTAAATATGAATTGAGATTCAGACTTCAAAGTTCAGGCTAATCTGATCTCTTTCTTCATTAACCAGAAAGCATTAAACTTTATAATCTCTTTATAATTTTTATAATGAAGTAAACTTTATAATCTCCTCTTATTAAAATTAGGGATGAGGCCAAACTAGACTAAAAGCATCCTAATCTTCTTTTCCTTCCTTCTATCTATAAAAATGTATGGTGGGGCTAATGAAGTCATGCAATACCCACTGCCCTGCCCCCCAGGTTTTGCCTATGTCCACATGAAACTCATTTTATTTTCCATGTACGGAAATTGTGGAACGCATTTTCTGCTCAATCAAAAAAAGATTTCATTGTTCCAAAAAATATATATATATTTTCAAATCAGTTGCGATCATTTTTTTAGTCACTACACACACAAGTACTATACCTCATGTTTCCAGTCTCACCTTCCTCAGAGCTTGCTTGACAGGATGTTTAAAGCTCAATTAAGCCACTGTGCATTGATCAAGTTGGAGGGAACTGAATTTAGATGTTACAGGAAACATCCTAATAACCAAAGTTGGAATGCTTATCACTTAGCAACTCCCGTGAGGCCTGCAAATACTAGCCCACATGAGACAAATCCATTCTCCACCCCAACATCATACAAGAAGATAGCGACTGTGATTAAAAGAAAAAAATAATATGTTAACAGCTTCCTATGGATCCCTCAGTGTCTTGTCTTATCTGCATCTGTCTTTTAGATTGTCAGTCCCTTAGGGCAAGGGTTGTCTTTACATTTGACTTCTCCAACAGCACTGAGGATATTAGGTACTTAGGAAATAATAACTAGGGAATACATGATGGTCTGGCAATGCATGACTGTTTAGTGGCCCAAGTGTGTCCTGTCTGCATTACTTGTAAGTACATCAGCCTTGTGTGAATTATTGAAGGTCGTAACAAACTGCTGTTTACCTGAAAGAGTCTATAGCTGCTCTTCTGGCTATAGGGTTCAAAGGGTCATTGCAGTGGTGGATATGGGGAAAGGAAAAGAGACGGAGATAATTGGGGGGCTAGAACATGCATTCACTCAGAGACCACATGAGGGAATTGCATCAACATATCAGTGTGGAGTCCTGTTGCAAGTGAAGGTCTCCAGCTTATAAACAGGACAAACCTGGAAGCATCACAACATGTCTTCTTTAGCAGTGAAACTCTTCTCCAGTGCAAAGGGCTTTGCCGGCATAAGACGTAAAACAGAGATAGGCTTTTCACCTCCCTAATCAACTGTAGTGAATCTGATATATTATCTTGGCTGCTAGCAAGAATAGAAACAGAGAGAGGAGAGAGAAAAAATATGAACTGCTGTTTAAAAATAATTCCTTAACAACTCTACTTCAAAGTTATAACAACAACAGCAGCTAAAATGCTTAGTGAAACACAAGTTCTCCACACATTTTCTGGTCCCCTTGCTGCTGCACCATATACTGTAGGGCAGGAGGGGACAATGACTGTCAATCTACTTTGACTGTTTTAACATGGAACACAAGTTACAAAGGCCTTTCAAAATTTGTTTCAGGGGAAGAGCCATTAATTTGGATTTTCAGCTTCCTGTTCAACCAAAATTAAAAAACAAAACATTGAATATAGGACCCTTTGATTTAACACATGTAAACAGGTAATGGAGTGTATATCTTCAGACTTCTCCAAAGAGAAAAGGCATAAATATCTGAGCTTGGTTTTACAAACCAAACCTGCTCTAGTTATAGGCCAAATCAATTAAATCCTTTCACACATGTTCTGTATATCATGGTTGGCCAGAAGGAAGAGAGACTCATTTTAAAAAGCAAAAAAAGACTGAAAACCACAATATTTCAGTTATAGTAGAGTGCCTTCCTTTCTTGCATCTGGTAGCTAGCGTTTGGTTTCATGCTCTGTGTGCGCATATGTAAGGGCTATTTTATATTGAAAGTCTGCTCACTTCTCACACAAAGATTACCCTTTTGATGTTAAATCACTCTTATATCACTTGTGAGCAGTCTGTGGCAACCCCAGGTCTACTTTAACAGGAAGAGGAGGAGGAAGGGGAGATTGACCAGACTGACTGTGAAAATGCTAAAAATCACACGTCATTCTATTCTATGAACTTCCTTGAGGAACATGAGAGAGAGATAACAGATTTTCATTGCAAATAGTTTGCAGAATTCAGGTCACTTAAAAAAATAAAAAAAAAGAAACATTGGTTTAGGGATGGACTCTTGGACCACCAGGCAAAGGTCCAGATTCAAAAAGGGATTGGACAATTTTTTGGTGGAAACTATCAGTAACTATTGAGCATAGAAGTTAGGATACAGCCTCTGAATCAGAATTTCCTGGACCTTATATGCCAGAAGCTGCAAGTGGGAGAGGAACAGTGGAGAAAACCCTGGTCATACCCTGCTCACTCTCCTTTTTAGCATCTACTCTTTGACACGGTGTGACACAGGATGTTGGGCAAGACAGACCTGTGGTCTGACCCACTTAATGGCAGTTCTTATGCTCTTAAGTCTCTCTGTTTGAGGATAACTGTTTATGCAAGAATCCCCCAAATAACCACTTCAAGCTCTCACCCACGACTACAAGGAAGAAAATCCAAAATACCAAGAAAACCTTATAGCATGCCACAACCCTGTTGATACTCTGCCACAGCAATAACAAAATAGTTACTTAGTGCATACTTAGACAATCATTAGAAAAGAACCTTGTTCCATGTTACTGAGAAAGGCAAAACCCCCCTGACTATGCTAATATGTCACAGTGAAAAAATTCCTTCTTGACCCTAAATCTGGCAAATGGTATGGACCTGAGTGGATGAGCAAGACCCTCTAAGTCTGGGTTTCTAGTAGGGGTGAGCAAAGTGCCCTATTCAATTTGGATTTGGCCCGAATCAGGGACAGTGATTGGATTTGTTGATTCGGATCACTGTCCCTGATTCGATTCAGCCAAATCCAGATCTGAAGATTTGATGCTGATTTGGACAATCAGCGATTCGGACATAGACATAGCTTTAAAAGTTTTTTCTACATACCTCGAGATACCAGTGTGGTTCATGAATGCTGTGGTGCTGGGGTGCATGGAGCATCCCACAGGAACGTGGGTGGGGGTGCCATCCACGTGCTTAGCGGTGAACCCGGAAGTGGAGCAGAAGTACTTCTGGTCCACTTCCAGGTCCACTGGAGAGCATGCAGGGGGGCCTCCCACACCAACCTGGTTCAGCAGTCAGCCACAGAGGGACCCTAGGTGCCCCCCCGACGCAGAAGGTACCAGTCACTGAGCCTGGGAGGTGCAGGGGAGCCCCCCAGCATGCTCCCCAGTGAACCTGAAAGTGGACCCGAAGTGCTTCTGGTCCTCTTCTGGGTCTGCTGCGAAGTGCGCTGGGGAGCCCCCCCATGCTTCTGTGGCATACTCCATGCACCCCACCATTGCAGTGTTCACGAGCTCCTGGTATGTAGAGGTATGTAGAAAAAACATTTAAAGCCATGTCTATGTCCAAATCGCCAAATCTTTCCGAATCTCTCCAAATCAATTCAGAAGGTTCCAGTTCGATTTGGAGAGATTAAAGGGTTCTCTGATTCGATTCAGAGATTCGGCCACCAAATTGGGCCAAATTGAATTAGGGACCAAAGCTGCACACAGCCCTAGTTTCTAGTAGTAGAAGAAACATCAGAGTATCCCATTAAAACACTGGCAGCCTTAACTGGGGCCTATGCCCCAATGCATGAGGGAAAGGCAAGGGAAAAATACAAACAACCATGTCCCTCTGCATGTTTCCCCTCTTGTTCCTTACCACTCTTGGTACTCACAAGGATATTACATCTAAGCCTACTTCTCTAAAGTAGCTTCTTCTCCACAGTTTGTTCTGCTATCCCTCTCCTCACCCACTCCCCTTCTTTTCAACTAGCTCCAGTCAGACTATTTAAGATAGCTCAGGTATGATCCAACTTGCCCTCTTTCTACATATTATCTTCAAAACACTTTTACAGAGAAAAATCATAGGAAATAATCCCTTTGATTAGCTTCTGCTTGAAGGACCTCATCTACTTTCAGAGATTTATAAAGCATAGTGGCCATCTTGAGCAAAAAACAGTTTGTTTCCACATACATTTAAGGTATGCAAATTAATACAGATTCCAGAATCCAGTCTCCCCTGCAGTGGATGGCAAAGGCTTTTATTCCTAACATTACTACAGAGGAGATCATTACTTTAACCATCCAGAGCCCAAGATAAGTTACAACTTGTTGATGCAATGCTAGAAGCTCTTCCAGCTTCCTTAGAATAAGCTGTTACACGCTTCTGATGAGCAGACACATTGACACATTTTTATAAGACAACATAGTGGTTGACTTGTTCAATCCAAAAATAAAATAAAATAAAAGAACCTGATTGCCTTCACCACTTGGCAGATTGTACCAGATTAAAAAAAAATCTAGAAACCATATGGAGGAAATGCAGATTAATCTGTTTAGGAAACTCACATTATATGTACGTGCATATTAGAAAAGGGGTGAATTAGAAACACTGCGTTGCTGAAACAGCTGACGTATGTTGTTACAGTCACACACACTTGGGGTCTGATGGGAATAAAACCTCTCCTAACCCTGAGCCAAATAACTGTGTACTACCTTTAGCCTGTGTATTCTATACACAATGGAAAGATGTCATATCTGAAATCTAACAGATCTACCTTCGGGCTTTGAGACTAACCCACACTCTTCTCCCACCCACAAGGAAGTAGAAGCTCTCCCACAAACACCAGTGGGCTTTGGCTCAGGAAGTTTGTATGTTGTCATTGGCAGCAATATTAATAGAGAAAGGAGGAAGAGAGGGATATGCTTGTTCTCTACCAGACTGATTGTGAAACACAGAGCTGCTGATCTGGGTGCCAAATGGGATGAAGGAGCAGATCTTCTTGGAGAAGAACGGTGACAATCTGAGCTTTGTGTGAGTCATTCTCTCTTCCCTTTTAACACTGATGTCTATTGGACACACATGGATAAACACAAGGGAAGAAAGGGGAGGGGGAGAGACAGAGAGAGACACACACACACACAGAGAGAGAGAGAGAGAGAAAGAGAGAGAGAGAGAGAGAGAGAATGTGCACCACTGGGCAAATATTTCATCTCAAAATGTTTCATCAGTGAACTCAGCCCTTCTTCTTCCTCACTGCTAACAGATGGCACTTCCTCAGATAGAAGATCGTTTGAGACATGTGGGGATGGAATGGCCACAGAAATTTAAAAATGATTTTCTGTTTGGCAGTAGTACAGACTTTTATTTGCAGAATATTTCAGATTTTTGCTCCTTACAGAATTATTATTTTTAATTTCTGATTCTATCAAATCCCATCTACTGAGTAAAGTGAGCAATTAATTGTAGGTTAAGCAGTTTACCATGTAAAACACTGAATAGACACACACACATGCACGGTTTTCCACTGACAACTTTAAAAAATGGAATATTATAATCTGACAATAGTTTCACAGAAGAAATGTTTATGTAAAACAGATGAATTTTAGTGACACTCTTAAGTTAAAAGAATTGTCACAGCTTATGACTGAGACACAAAACCTAAAGCCTGATCCCTTGTGTTTGTGAGCATCTGTTTAATCCTGCTCACAAAAACAAGAGAAGTAGCACTAGTTGTCCCAGTCAGTCACATTTTAGCTCTGGAAATCACATTCTGACTACCTAACTCCCTCCTGTCACATCAAAAAAGGCATGGAGTGTTTTTTCACTTCTTATCTCATGTTCTGAGTTGACAAGGAGATGTGCATTGATGAAGCCAAGCCTACACAGCGATCTAATGTCATCAGAATGGCTCTGCCTGGGAGCTCATTGCAAGTTTGGAGATTTAAACTGCTCTATACTCTCTGTTGGTAGAGTCAGCCAGCTACTGGAGGTAGATCACTTTTATTTAACTGCCATGGCTACAGCAAGATCTGTTTCACTTATACGTCCAGGTAGGAAAGAATTAAAAGGTTCTCTTTTACTGGCTTTATCCTGCGCACCAAATGAAGCAGCAGTCCCTAGGACAAATATCTCATTTTATCATTAATGATTGCATCACAACATACACATACGCAAGGGGCAGAGTTAAGGGTGCACAGGCAGCACCAGCTCCAGACATTGAGAAATAATGAGATAGTCGTGAGAATGTCTTAAAAACCACGGGATGTTTAACAAATAGTAAAACTTTGAACTCTTATCTGCCCACTGGTTTGAATCCTTAGTGCGTGTTTGAGTCACATGATCAAGCTTTTTGTCAA